TCTTGTAGATAAGCCCCAGCCAAGCCCCCAAACTCATGGATTACCTGGAACAGGAGCCCTATCTTCTGGAACTAAGAATCGGCCTGGAACAAAAGGAAAACGAACAGTGTAGTCCTGACTGTGTGTCACTGCAGTCATAGAAGCCTTGAAAATGAATTTGTGATGCGTAGATCATTAGTCTACTATGATCTTACTGCAATGTAAAGAAAGAAGAACATTCTTCCATCCATAGCAGAACTTAGCTGCTCTCCTTGAGCTACCGGTTATTACTAGTCTAGAACTCTTCAAGCGCCAGGAGGGAAGATTACGATACAATGAAGCCGCTTGCGGTCTTCTCTGCTAGTTTTGACTGGAAGGTCAAATAATTTCTTTATCATATATGAGAACCTGAGCACAACTCTGGAAAAAGAAGAGAGCCTCGGATGTTTTTTTTTTTTTAATTTTCATAGCCTTCAGAAGAGAGTAGATCTACCTCCTCTTAGTTGTCATTAATTATTATTATCATTATTTATTATTTTTATATTATTATTATCATTGTTTCACATTATCTTCTCTCCATTGGTTAATTGATTTTAATATGATGCTGGCGATTGCCTGAGGGTGAAGGTACATGCTATTGAAATCAGCTCCTGGTATAAAATACTCCTTTAACTGACTGTGGACTCTCTTTAATCCTTCCTGCTCGGTATTCCACAACTACAAGAAAAGAATTATTATTATTATATTAACAACCGTAAAAAAATCTGGGGACATCTCTCTATTATAGCATCAGAAACTCATGGGTGTAAATTTTAGATTAGATTTTTTTATGAATTTTAAAGCTGTTCCAAATTTGAGCCAATATATTACCCAGTGCTAAAAAAGGAGATATCATTGCATTGCAGGAAATACAAAAATAGAAATAAAATGTAGTAGCTAGCATTAAATTTAAATTCTTATTTTTTACCTTTTTAATATCTTCTGCTGATTTATCAAAGTCCTTATACTTTACCACAGCTACTGGTATATCTTGTGGGAATGGCTTCACCTTGAGTACGGTCCTATGAGAGTGGACCTGTCCCATTGGGTGTGGCTATAGTACAGCTTACTTGACTTGTGCAAGGCTGTCATTGGTCATGGCAATTTCTTCAATGACAGAGGATAGATGAACCGAATTGCACATTAAATATTTCTAAAAACAAAATCGATTAATTTAATATTATTATTATGTACATGTACAAGTATATATAGGAAGAGAGAGACAAAAGGAGAGAAAGAGGGTAAAACAGAAAATAACTCACTCGTCTGTTTACAATATTTTCGCTGACTATTTTGACAACTTTCTTATTCTCAATCGGTTTTATGTAACCGGTTAATAGAGCTATCCTGTTGATACCAATTAGCGACGAGAGATAGAGAACCCTCACATGTGAGATGACCTCATTGTACCTTTAGGAGAAACAGAAGAAATCAAGAAAAATTGAGAAAGGAAAAGAAAGTCTCTATGTTGATATCATCAAAGGACATGCTTACCAATATTGGCTCCAAGTTGAATTATTATCAAACAGTGTCTCAACTAAAGGATCTATCAATACTAGACCGGCAACTTCACTGAGAATAAGAGAATAAAAATATTTGAGATGACAGAAGATAAATTTAACTGAATCGTTATGCAGTGCCAATATTTGTAATAATATACTGTAACTTAAATGTATTTCTTAGTTAATCATACTTCTCATAGAACTGAGCATAGAATCGTGATATCAGAGTAGAGAAATCCATACCAACTAGTAGAAGTGGAGTATTTGAATCACTGACCACTGAACTAACATGTAGCAACCGATGCAAATCATCAACCATTCTAAAAAAAATAATAACGATAATGAATAATAACAAATATAATAATATACATAATAGTACTTCTTAAGGTTGACTGATTTACATGTACAAAGTAATGCACTATCATCAGAAGTGCCTGGGACTATAATGTATAAATGCAAGTGTTGAATATTACCACCCAAACCTAGCATTATGCATTACAAGCACTTCTGGAGTATTAAAGTAACTTGTCTTCCTTCTTCTCTCACTTTCTACATCTATCTGTCTATCTCCATTACCTCTCAACAGTTCCCAGTGTTAGCGTGTCACGTCTCTTTGCTTCTTTACCGTAATCTTGAGCATATTCAGTTGTATTCTATAACATATACCGGTATGTATAGTTACACAATATCTCCCTTTCCTACCCTGTATCCTCTGTGGCTGAATCCTAGCCCAGCTCTGTCATATACACATACCTGAAATGAGATATATTCAACATTTAAGATGAGATAAGATTACAATTAAATTTGACTTGACAATTCACAATTGCAATTTGCAAGTCACTAGTACTATTTTTCAGTAGGCTCAGTTTTTTCTCTCTCTCTTTCGTTCACCCTTTCTTTTTACTTTTGTATGTTTATTTAATAACGGTTCTACCATCGTCCATATGTCCGATGTCTCTCCTATCGGTGAGTCCAGCAGTACAACTGGAGTACCTTTCCCTGTGCATCTCATAAACAGTTTCTGACCCCATCCTATGTCATAGAGCTCCCCTGGAAAGAGAATTAATCAAAAATATATACCATTTAATAGTTTATTTATTATTTACAATTTCTACCTTGAGGAAAGAGTGCTTTCTCTTCTCTCTTTAGTGAGGCAAAGTTAAGGACAAATATAGCAACCAATATCAGGAGGAAACACTTGACTGGTGTGCAGTTCCACCATCTTCTCTTTTTGACCCATTTCTTTCCAGCTGGAGCTGGTGGAAGGTCCTCTATCTCTTTTCTGGGAAGTTGTGGGCTTCCTTTGTTGTCCTTTCTCTTTCTATTGGCAGCCATGATGTGGGAAAATTGGAGGTAGGGCAGGGCTCCAAAGCCTGCAAAATGCAACTATGGCAAAGCAAAATTTGAGGTTTACACAGTAAATTTAATAATTGATATTGTGCTTTGTATAAAATGCTTGATAAGATGCAATTGCTTAGCAGCATAGCAGCTAATAATAGTAGCAAACTAGAAATAATTATTGTTATTTTTTACTCAATTAAAAAATTATTAATTTTTTTATTATTAAATTAATTTCTAATTTTCTATTTAATGCGCGACCGAGTAGGTGAGGTCAAAATGGCGTCAAATTTAAGATCCATTCTTTGCCTTCTCCTTCTCTCTCTTCTAACCATTGACACGGTCACCTCTGCTAAATACAAACAAGACGAAAAGGTTCTTGTTTATAATTTTATCGAGGTTGTTTACTGTTTCATTCTCGTGTCTTTTGTTCTCTCCCTCCCCCTCTCTTTATTTTCATTTTGTTTAGATTGTCCTCTATGTAAATAAAGTCGGCCCCTATTACAATCCACAAGAAACATATCATTATTATTCTCTTCCTGTTTGTGTACCTGAGAAGGTCAGTGAAATACTTCATTGCCACCTTTTAAAATATTACATGTATATGCATGTATCTTTCATTTTTAGGATTTTTTAAATAAATAAATGATTTTTTAGCTTTCGTTAGATTTTGATAATTTTAATTATTATATCATATAGTCTAATTAATATTTTTGTGTTGTAATAATTGTGAGTTACATGTACATGTACAACTTTATATGT